ACACCCACACCCACATCCCACACCCACACCCACATCCCACACCCACACCCCACACCCACACTCTCTAATTCTTCTAACTCTCATATAATAAAATAAAATATATGTTACAGTAAGAGCTAGATAATCAAGTCTTCACTCTATTTAGAATATTCAATAGGCCTATAATGTACCATGAGTGTTAAAATTAAATATGTAAAAAGGTACCACGAACGAAGTACATAAATATATATTTTAAGGTTTTCTGAAATGTTCTATATCTGAGTAATTCGAAGTTTGCAGAAATAACATCAAATCATTAATCAACTTCTTCCAACAGGTTGATATTTTTCGCACAGACATATGTAACACAGCATGCGTCTGTGACAATAAAATTTATTGGAAGTTTTGGAATAAAATGTTTCTTTCTTTTTATTATTCCTATGTCGTGTCTTACACATAAATGTGGATCTAGTTCAACCTGATAGACCGTTTACATTGCTGCTTTGATATTTTTTTTTCATTTACATATGTTTGTTGAAATAAGTTGCTGTCATTATCATCTTTATGAAGTTTTAGTGTTTTATAAGCCGGAAACAGTTGCGTTAGGAAGTAAAATCTATATCAAACAATGAAAAACAACCGAGAGTCGTAGAGCTATAGCTAAAACTGTTCTGATATTTGTCGTATAATGAAATTCACCTTTATTCAAGTAGACATATTGAATTAAACTAAAATGATTTGTCATACTATCACAAAAATCAAAATTCTAAGTGTAAAACTTCATTGATAGAGAAGAGCAACTACCACATGGATGTCAGTGATTCTTGTGCATTTGTGCGTACTGACTCTAATTGAAGTTATGTTATTTATTGTTAAATAGAAAACCTACATAAGCAGGGATCATTCGATTAATTTCATAATATGAGTGATGATGCTTTTTTTCTGTTGTTACATATCTAAATATTCGTGTTGATTTTCTGATATTTCTGCTCACTGAAATGTTGTTTGGATTGATTTATTCAAGTATTCATATCTTGATCAATTAACAGATGAATACTTTAAAGAATGTGCGACTTATATATTATTGTAATCTCATTATTCGTATGTAGTATAAATAGAATGTGAAATTTAGATTTTGACTTCATCTTGTCTTTGCAAGCATCCTGTTGTTGAATTCATATATATTTTTTCAAAGGCAATGGTATAGGTTTTACGTCGAGGTTAGACAGTTCTATCCGTCTTCCTTTTCAATTATGGATTGTATTAATTGGTTTGACAACTTGTGAGTTGCCTAACGATTGTAAAATATGCATCTTTCACATTTTAGTCTTCGCAAAACTGCGTTGAGAAACGGTTTTTTACACAATAATTCTTACTACTTGCTCGTTATCTTTCATATTTGGATATTTTTCTCTTTTCCCCGCTGCAAACAATGAGTTACATGGCAAAAAAACACATGTTATTTATATCTATTTTCTAATGTTGGTTGCTTAGATAGGCATGTAATGAACCATTCTGTTTACAGAAGAAAATTTAATTGCTACCATAGTCAATATTTTGGAAGGGATAACAGGAAATCAAAAATCTTTATCTGGAAGCCTCTGCTTATTAATTAGTTCGAAAATAAGTATAGGTGAGATTCATGATTATAAGGAAAATCAAGCATTGACGTGTTGTTAAGTTCCGAAGAAAAATAATTGAATTTCTCTTATCATATAAAGAGTCGATCAAACTTTTCGAAATGCAGAATATCAAGAGATATGCCATGAAAAAGTGAAGTGAATTAGTTACTGATGAACTTCTTTAAATTTAAAGTTTCATTCTTCATAGAAGCAATACCCCCGATCGAGAAAAATAACAGAAAATGTGCAGCTAACCGCAATCTTTTGAAGCTCGGTTTGTCGTTTTATGTTCAGATTGCGGTGGTTTTCAGAGATACAGTAACTAAGGTGTCAATGTTGATGACAGTAAATAGAAGTTTGAACAGTTTTATTCATGAAAGGGGTTTGTTAGAAGACAGGCACAAATATTTAACATTAGTTGGTGAATGTTCCTAATAAAAACGAATGTAACAAGAAAGATTGATAATCAATATTGTCAGACAATCAAACATCGACACTGAAAATGAACAATAGGAAATGATATCTAAATGTCAAAGTATAGGTGTGGACGCTGATGTACAGACTACATAAATACTCACATCCTTCTATTTTCTTTCCTCTTTTCAGAGTCATTCAATTTCTGATGTAGATACCTGCTGTTTCTAAGGGATGGTTTTTTTTTCTTTTCTTTTATCGACACTATGTTTGTTGTCGATGCGTAGGATGACAAGGAGCGCAACATTTTTTTTCTTTTTCACTTTTTCTACATAATGACAAGTAAAAAAATATATATTATAAGAGTCCGCCATTTTTCCACGTGAACGTTTTCAGTCATAGAAAAAAACTTGTAAACACTGTCAATAGTAATGACAAGCATCACTGTCGAAGGAGCTGAATTATTGCAGGTAGGCCATCGCTCAACACGGACTTTTGCCGTGTTTGACACTTCAACAATCAACGCTTGCTTTATAGATTATTATAGTATACTGACAACAATGATGGTCTAGACATGTTTAGAGAGAAAAAATATTCCATAATGATAGCTGATATTCAGAAATTTAAAACACTTGTTTTCATTGTGAATCACTACATGATCAATATCAGTCTAGGAAGAAAGCTCAAATAAACTTTTGAACGACATACGAATAGTATCTCAATGATGCCTAAATTTGTTGCCTCATATGCGTCGATTTACAGTGACTTATTTATCGACAAAGGCAAGAATAACGGATACATTAAATAAATAAACTGCTTATTAATTAAGTCTGACGTCTGTGAAAAGATTAATAACTTGTGAGCTAGTACACGGATGCCTTTATCATGAAGTAGCGGGAAGACAAGTTGAAATATGATACGTAAATTACTAAATGAGATTGTCTTGACACGAAATGAAACGGTGGGTCCATGACTTAGCTGCATACATTGTTTTACGGTAATAAGAGAGTTTATAGGTACACCCACATATTCTCCGTTTCCTTAATGATAAAATATTCACTAATAGACTTTCAAATGACAAAATCAAATACTTTTTGTTATTTACGCTTAACAGAGAAAATATGGAAGCAAAAAATTCCGTATTTATGTGCAGAGAAATTTTATGTGATGTTTTTTTCCATGTGTCTCACAGCTATTTAGTGCTGATAGAGCCTATTACTATTTGATATATTTCATTTTATGACTCTATCTAAGATTCGACCTGTTCAAAACCAAGATTTATCAACGACATCATGCATGTCGCCAGATTTAAACTACGAAGATGTGACTCTGATTTGGTTGGATGAGAATATCAATGAAAATTTTGATTGTCTGGATACAAAATGTCGTTTAAGTACAATTGTTAACTATTTTAAAGTATTCGACAATGTTCAAGAAACGGTTGATTATGTTCAATCTGCATTACATGAACACTTATTTCTTATTGTTTCTGGATCATTAGGTGAAACTGTTCTTTCATGTATTCACAACGAATTTCAATTGAAATTTATTTTTGTCTTTTGTATGAACAAAGAGAAACATTCAGAATGGACATATAAATATGAAAAAATATGCGGTATTTTTATCGACAAATATGAACTTTTTCATAATTTGACTGCTAAAGTTCGAATTTATGAAAAAAGCTTATTGACCATTAGTATATTCAATAGATCATATACAACAGGTGAAGAACATTCAATTCGTGATTACACAATTGAAGAAAATGTTAATTTAATGTGGCTTGAAGCATTTATTAACATTCTACTTGATGTTCCACTTGATAAAAATGTGGCTAAACAAGATATGATTGCTGAATGTCGTTTATACTATACAAATAACCCAGCAGAATTGAAAAAAATTGATGAATTTGAAAATAATTATTGTCCTGAGACTGTCATTAATTGGTACACTCGTGATTCATTTGTGTATCGGTTAGTCAATAAAGCACTGAGGACGCTGAATATTGATATTATTTTCAAATTTCGATTTTTAATTATTGATCTATACCAACAATTAAAACAATGTCATATTGATTATATGAAATCTTTATCGACAATCGATCCGAATAAAGTAATACATACAGTTTATCGCTGTCAACATATTGGAACTCATGAACTGGAAAAGTTGAAAGCCAGTATCGGTAATATGATTTGTCCCAATTCATTTTTTTCGACAACAGAAGATTGTTTAATGGCACAATCATTTGTTGCCGGTTCTTCTAGTTCGGAATATGTTTTATTTCAAATCGATATTCCTGATTCTTATTATCAAAATGCTGTTGATACATCAAACTATATATGTCCATTTTTGAAAATAGAAAATTTAAGTCAATTTCAAAGTGAAAGTGAAGTTATATTTTCACTTGGAGCATTATTTCGAATCGAATCTGTTGAAAAATATAATATGTGGTTTGTTTGTTTAAAATTTGAAGACGGAAATGATGAATTAATTAAAGATTTTTATCAAACAGATAAATTAGAAAATCAAACATATGACTGGCAGAGTAGATGTAGCGTTGAAGACCGAATTTTGTTATTAACAGAAAAATTTCCTCTATCATCAAGAAATATTATAAATATTTATATAAAATATGCCGTTTTTGCTGATGTGGACGGATTAACAACTGCAAAGACTTTAACTACATATAGAAAAGGATTTGAACTATTAATGAAATGTTTGCCTGATTATCACTATGCACTTACTATTGCTATGCAACTGAGTATTGGTCTTTTATATTGTAATAGAGGGGAACGTTTTTTAGCTATCCAATTTGGAGAAGAAGCTCTTCATGTAGCCGAAACTTATTTACAAATTGATCATGAATGTTCTCTTATTTGCTACAACTATCTTGCCGTTATTCATCAACTAGAAGATCAGTACACAGAATCATTATCAATTTATGAAAAAATGTTATCGATTGCAAAGGAACATGATAATAGTTCAGCTCTACTTGCTATTTATTTTGATATAAAACGTATTACATGTGACTTTGGTGATTATGAATATGAAATGGTATCTTTAAAAAAGATGGTAGAATTAGAAAGAAAATTAGGTTGTGAGAATTTAGAAAATAATTACTATGATTTTGGATCATATTATGAGAGGCAAGAAAATTTCACGATCGCATTATATTATTATAAAGAACATTTTCAATGTCTATTAAAGAAGCATGCATGTTTAATTGATTTATTAAGAAGTTATTCTCGAATAGGAAAAATGTACGAAAAATACAATCATTATATAGCAGCTTTACAAATCTACATTCGAATTCTTCTAGCAGAATCTATAACATTAATGTCGCACGGTTGTTCACCACTTCGAAAGTATGAAAAAATGATTAAATTAATTCAGCGTTTAATTAAATGTAAATCTTTGAAAAAAGTAAAATATTACTTTCGATTATTAATGACGCAATCATTCTCATCAATTATTTTCATCAATTTCGTTAAAAAAATTGAGTTTCTTTTCTATTTTAAATTCGATCATATTAATTCATTAAAAGCATCTCTAAATATAATACTTACACAAGCTTTAACAGAATACAATAATCAAAGAATTTATGAAAAAACCTTAAAAGACTTACAACGACAATTTCAACAAGTTATGGAAGTGAGATCGTTGTGTTTCGGCAAGACCTATCATAATGCACAAATATTAAGAAAATTACAATTAACATTAAATGATTATCAACGACTTCTTCGTTTAACTCAACGAGCTTATTTTTCATTCTCCTATTTTGATCGTGATAAACCTCGGCGAAACTATTCATCTATTGACCGATCTTCAACTGATATTGGACGAGTAATCGATGCATTTATTTGCTCTTCTCATACAACTCAATGCCAAGATAGAACACGTCAGAAGCCTCATCATCACCATCGATCGAAGTGGACTTATCAATATCGATTTTGTGGATGTTTCAAGGATAATTCACGTGTACTATGCAGTCGCTTCACTAGACGATGGGCAAAATTTTGTAGAATTTGAATTATCAAACAAATTACTAGCATAATCCTACTGACCGGTCAATAACAAATAAGATTATACTTAACTCATATTGTTTGAAATTTTAATTAACTAAACATATTCTATCTGTTTTACTTACATATAGAGCAAATCAATGGGTTACGGGTGTGGGTGTGGGGTGCGGGTGTGGGCGGGTGTGGGTGGGTGTGGGTGTCGGTATGGATGTGGGTGTGAGTGTGGGTGAGGGTGTGGGTGTGGGTGTGGGTGTGGATGTTGACTGGATGCCATAAAAAACCCCACACCCGCCCATACCCACACCCACACCCACACCCACACCACCCACACACTCACACCCACACCCACCCACACCCACATCCCACACCCACACCCTTTTTCCATGAAATAATTTAGTTTTATTAAAAAAGTCCTAATATGTACGTACCGACAAAAGCTTGTTAATACAGCTTTCTTGTAGCTGCAATGTGAAACTCACGTATACCCTTCAGGCTTGTTATCTCAATACGTAATCTGCAAACTGAAAAATTTTCTGTCAACAATAGTTATTTTCACTAATAATCGATAACAACAGCGAAAATTTCCCATTTATTTCTACATTAAAAATGAAGTGTCTTTTTCCTTTGAGCACTGCCAGTTTCATTTACAATTCTTTCTATATACTTGATAAGAAGCATTCGGTTTTTTTCTTTGAAACTATTTCTTATTACCACAGAATATTTCATGAATCAGACTAGTATGATAATGCAGTTAATATGCATCAGCAGTTCTTTTACTGCTACTATACGTTGCAAACAATCCATAATGATGCTTTTATTTACTTTTCACGCTGATAAAGGAATTGAATCATGTTTCACATTTTAAGCGTATGATTGTTATGACAGATCAAATTCTAAAAAATGTTAACCATTGTACTATTAAGAACTTTAATAAATATATGATAGTTTTTTTAAATAATTAAGAGAGCGTTGAAATATTGTACAACAGTCAAAATCATATATTTCATACTGTGTAACTCGATCTTTTTATTGTTAAATAAATCTATTTCCTTCGAAAATATATGTGAGTTGCAAAAAGCAGCGTGTGAATAGTGGTTTTTTGCTTCTTCAATCGATCACATTCACCCACACCTTTGCGTCGTTTTTCCACAATGTCAATAGTAAAACTGAAACAAACTTTTCATGGCAAACCTTGTAAGAAGTTATTGCAAAACACTTCAAGAGATAAAAATCGGATAAGGGTATGTCCATTGTAACAGTATAAATCTTTCAGGTTAATAATATTTCATTTAGCAAACATGTTATCACAATCTTCTTTATTAACAGTAACGGTTGATGGAATTAATTCAACACTGTATACACAACATATACTAAAGTGAAGAACTCCCTAAGGTCAACAATGGAACGATTTTCTTACCTTCTTGATACAATGGCTGCACTAACAGCTGACTTCAAACTATTCCAACCAGCGGCGATAGAGTTGAGGGAACTAATGCAGATTTATTTTTCGAAATTTATCGTTTTTGTAGGATATATTTATCTAGTAAGCTTTATTATTTATAATCATATTTCAGCACATAATGATATTATTCCAATCCACACTAATTTTAACAAAAAAGACCGTATTTCATTGATTCTAATCATGTAAAAAAGTGCAATCCTTCGTGGAACTTATGACAATTATAAGACTCATTATTAATCAATGGAAAGTATTGTTTCAGCAAAATGTAGAAACAACTATGTTGCAATTCTTTCGAATAGAACGAATTATCACTTGATGATTCTGATGCTGGTAAGTGAAATGATACCTTTTCAATTAATAAATATATCCATATGTCATTTTTCATAGATTGATCAAAAAGTTAACTGAATAATCAGTGAATTCTCTCAGTCGTATGCTCTCTTCGAAGATCTGACGAAGGGCCAATATCATAAATCTGAAGTTACTTTTGTTTTTGAAAAAAAGCAAATCGTGTTCATAATACTTTTACGTTAATATTGAAAAAAAAAATAATAAATGCAAGATAAAAGATAGCCATGGTTAGTATTAGGAAAAAGGTTAGAACTACTAGTAAAATAACTTGAAAAGTGATGGATAAAGTTCAGCTTGATATAAATGAGCGAAAAGCATAGTTATATTGTTTCTTTGCACTAAGTAGAGTCAAATAGAAATGTCACTGTAATTTTTCATGTCAAAAATGGACCAAGAAGTTGATCATTAAACGTAATTGGAACTGCAAAACTGTCCTCCCGATGCTGCATCATTGTTGAAGCAATTAAACTTCATATTGAATTGAGATGTTAAAGATATCAGTGAAGATTTCACAGCGCCATCTATCCAGGTTGCACGGTCTAAATAAAAGGCTTCGCCAACTAAACTTAATTGGTCTTTAGTAAATCTTTTCAATGGATTCAGTGCCCAAGTGAAGATATTCTTATTGCTGACAGCACTGTTTGCATTTTGAAAATGCCAAGCACCCGTCCACACATGGGTGAATGTTTTGCTGGGTGGAGGTATTTGCACATCGATGAATATCGATCTCAGTCCTCGAAGAAGTTCTTCTATTAAATCGTTTTGGGATGATCTTTTGATCAAAGCTGACCATAATTCCACACACAGTCCATCATCATAAACAGTTCGTGTCAAATTTTGTTCTTTTTCTTCTGGCTGCTGAGAAGTAATTTCAATAAAACTAATGCAGTTCTGTTTCGTCCATGCACGATCAATCGTCGTTGCAGAGATAAAGCTCTCCTCCCACCAACGACGTGGCCAATAGGATTCAATAACCACAGTTTTGGCAGCCTTAATCGCTTGAAAATGTTTATCTGCTTTGATCTCATTAGCAATAGACCCTATAACATTTTTCCAACCAGATGGATCCATAGCTATGACTAACTGTTGGGCAAGTACACGATATCTAGGTGTTTCAATTGAAAATGGATAACAATTGTTATCATTATTATCTTCAATTTTCAGAACTTCTTCGTTCAAGTACAATTTTGTTCGATGATTTTTTGTTGCAGTATGCATCATACGTTTAGCGAATTGAGACATACCTTGAAGGGGATAGTAAATGGTACCAAAGAGATTCCAATCTTGTTCTAAAAATTCCATATAAGCATAGGCGTTGGAATTTTCAAAATCAGATCGAAATCGAAACGAATCCCTCAAAAACTCTGTAGCTTCATCACCAAGAAGATAGCGACAGAAGGCAGTCATGTCACCAAATCGATATAAATAAGATGGATTCTGATGGAATGCTTGTATGAGTCTATTCCATAATTGATCTTGTGCATTGAGTCCATCAGCGTCATCGGTGCAAGTGAGATTCACATAAGAGACTGAGCACATTTCATTGATGGAAGTGAACAGCCGTCCTCGAGCTTTAATCAGACTTGTTTGGTAGTCGTAAGCAAAATAAGGAATTCGAAGCCCATCAGCCAACTGTTTGATAACACCCTGTACGTCAAAAAATCGGACGGCACCTATGGCTGCGATAGAGCTATTCGAATAGGCTGCTGGTGGATTTCCGTTGTAATCAACATCATAAGTTCGTCCACCTACGTAGTTATTGCGTTCAAATACGCATATTTGATTTTCATGATTCGGCGCCAGCCGGAAAGCACTGTGAGAGCCGCCCACACCAGCACCCAATATTACAATCGGACATTTCAGTCTAGCAAGAAAAAGTAACAATCAGATCGAAAAGAACGATACTGGTAGGTAGGAAAAGACTCTTTAATTCTTGTGTGTTGAAACGATAATTTGTAGTACGTATCACATTCTTATTAAACATGATGTTTAGTGCACAGATTTCTTCAAAAACATTATTCCTACAAAAACATAAATACCTAGTCTTTTGTAGTGGATTGTTGTGTTTAGAAGGCACTACTTGAATTTGATCTCGTTGTCGATTGAATTTGCAGGACATCGAACCTTAAAAAACAAGAAAATCGTAATTTATCTTGCGAAGAACAAGTATTCAAGTGTGACGCAATAAAAATGTCAGTAATAATGAAGAATATATCGCACTATATTAATGTGGTACTTAATACGATAGGTATGATTCATCAAAAGTTCGAGTCGATTGGTATGATGTAAAAAATATAAAAAACAACGCTATTCAATACACTCATTGGTCCAGTCTGATACAGTTTGACTGCCTGTGACAGCGCTGATATCGGTCAAATAATATTTTTATAAATTCCAGTTCTGTTTATTTTTTTGCATAACTGAATGCCTATTACTTACACATTGGACTAATTCTTATTTCGGAAGGTGGCTACAACATCTTTAGTGCCCCTACTACTGATCTATGATATGTAAATACGCCGATAAAAATCTAGAAGAAAGTGTTGGATAGCCTCGGAAGGCGTCTTCAACTAAATTCTAATACAAAGTTGCTAAGGTTTGTCTGAATTCTAGACAGTCTTATCCAGAATGAGTGACAACCTTCACAAGAAAGCTCACTAACCAAATTATACTGCTCTTATTTGTCTAAATGCAGATTAACTAGTTTTAAAAGTAAAAGCACAGCTTATTCGAAGCACTTCACAAGTTACTAGAAAAAAAAACAGATGAATATACACCTCTATGCAAGTAGCACACTGTTGTTTAGATAGATCTCGAATCTGGCTGTCGCTATTTCGAATGAGAATAGGCAGATTTACGGATTCATCTCATTATCTCTTACTTTACTCTGCGCGACTAAAAGAAAAATCCAATATCAACTAGATTTTTCTTGAACCATTCAATGGAAGATCCCAAGACGTACTTGTAGAAACTATCGGTGAATGACAAGTTCAAATTGTAATTCTATACTTTTGTAAATTTTTTGATTCTTACTCACACCCGCCTCCATCTTCTATATAATACAAGAAAAATATGCAATGCTTTTTGTCTATGTATTAATCATGGGATAGAAACTGGGTGAAAACGGAAATATATTACTTTTCTACAAAAGACATAGATATTACTGAATTCATAATTTCGGTTTCATTATGGAAAATACTTTTTAAGGAAAAAAGCGACGAAAAAAACCATTCTATTGATTCATAAATGACTATATTTATTCAGTACACATTTTTCTTTCCATTCCAATTCGAAGCACAAAAAAAATTGAGAAAAAAATTCGAACGACGACAATGACGGTGGCTGAAGTTTACCCAAAGAATTGAGAATCAAGAATAACAGTTCATAAAAGTATGCCAGGTTTACAATATTTGCAAAGTTTATTTTATTCAATATTCTATAAATATTAGTTTAACTTTCTGATTGAATTATGGACTTAAACAGTGCTCCCTAATGAAATTACACAGCATTCGGGTTATTTTACCTTTAGAGCTGATTTCATTTCTGAAAACTGAACATCGAAAATGTTAGTACTAGTACAAAGAAAAGCTTATGGAAAAGTAAACTATTTACTTTTTACTGCAGCACGTAGTTGTCGTAATAAAGACTTTGATGCTGAAGCAGTAGTTCGTTTGCATCTGATCAACACAAGTTCACTGGAAGTACCATCATCAAATTTGAAGTTCAATAAAATACTTGAAATATATGCAGCAATACGAGCTCGAATAAGACTAATAAAACTGTCTTGGCAAGATTTATAGGTACCACGGTTCTCTGAACAGACAATGTGGATATCCATTTCAATGATGGAGCGACGAACTCCCAACTGAGCGCAGGTAGGTCTGAAACAAAGTCCGAGAAGTTTCGAAAACAGATTCATCATAATAAAAGTCATCCAAAACTTAATACCCACATTCCACTTTTTCTTCTTTGAACTTGATGACCGAGACTACGACTACTGTCGTCATTGGTTTCATCATTAGTAACCATGATAGTGTCGATACGAATTGAGCCTGGCTTGATACTGGAGATCAATTCTAGCTAGAATATGATTCAATTCACTTAGTTTAATAATGTGTGATAAATAAGTGAAATGCAATTACGCTTCTAGCGATCTCGTCAGTATTGATGACTGTGGTACTCTGATTCTTGCTTGGTATCCAATTTGAGAAAAACGTTTGCGTAATTTTGACGGATCCTAGAATATCAGATGAATGATTAAAATAATTAGTTGTTTGTCTGAAAAATGTATTAAACAATGAGTCATTATTTTGAAATTTTCGCCTGCAGATAACTGATATAAAAATATGATTGACGAGCGTCATCAAATAGTTGTCCATAAAGTAAGAAGATTATCAATCCTTCATGTGTTTCTGCCAATCGAGATAGTATGGAAAAAAACTCATTTGTGGAAAGTGATACTTTTCTGTTGGAGTATAACAAGCTTTTAAATATTTCGTCTATTCACCTTGGCATATTAACCATACTTAATGTCAACGTCAACTTTGATGCTGTTTTTTTGCTTTTTTATGGTACGAAAGATAGGAAACTCTCAAAAATGTTGTTAGGATAGTTTTCTTCCCTTCTTTTATAGAAAAAATACATTATTTCGCCGGTTTGCTTCAGGTTCTTTGATATATGACAACAATATATGATTATTAGTTTTTACGAAAGACTAGCAGTATGTCATTCTGATTTCCAGTAGTTATCTGGTTGCTATTCAGTAGGAAAAAAAACTATTAATAGGAAGATGGTAGAATTTATTCAACCGACAGTATCGGAGGGGACGAAGAAACTCAAATACTGACAAGACAAGAGACTGAGGAAGATCAACGCACAGAACTTGCTAGAAGTGTTGCTATCCAGTTGAGATATTCAATTTTTAGGGTAAGTTGAAGTGAAAATCTTCCACTTTTAGTCAGAAACGACACGATAGATAGGGGAGAGTAGGGGTTAATTCCACAGCTTCGTAAAATTTGTTTGGAACATCCTGATTTCAAAGAGATTTTACAACAATCTTGTACGGCTTTGAGGAATGAAATTTTTTTAGAAGCTTAAAAAGATCGTTCAGAAGTTTCTCCAAAAGCGAAGAAATTTGTGCCAAAAGATCTGAACAAATTTTAAAGAAGATCACTGAAAAATATCCACACGCTTGGGTGTTCTTCGAGTTTAAAGAGATTTCTCTAGCATATTCTTCTGAATCCTGACACAGTACAAGTTTAGAGAATATTTTTTATCGTAGAAAGCCTTTGTTGACTGTATCTTCGGGGTTTTTGGTAATCTCAATGAATGCTGATGCAAAATTATTTGACAGGCCTACTAAGTGTATTCTTGTACATCACATACCTTGTTGCATCTATCGAAAACGTATGTTGTCTTGAAATTTGTCTATTTGAAATCGAAATGGTATTGTCACTTTTTAAAAAAGAACGGCAGGAGAAGTGAAAAGCTTTGGGTTTTATTTAGAAATGAAAGAACAAGATCTTTTATGTTGTTTTGACTAGAAAAATGTTGAAAAGAAGTAGAAGAGGGACGAATTAAGTAATGGATGTTCCAACAAAAGTAGCATGTTAGGAATCAATACTGAACTCTAACTAAAACTAGATACTTTTTCGCAATTGAAAACAATTTCCATGTTCACTTCTTATTTTACACCTCTGAAACGCCAAAGAAAAAGTCTGAAAGTTTTTAAAAATCGTCAAATTCTAAATCATTCTAGACAGAGTTTAATGTTGATTTAGAAAATAGTGTTTTCTCCGTAACGCAAAGTAATCAATCGAACTTGTTTTTTCGTCATCCCTTTAACTCTTGTGCCGAAAAGTAACTTTTAATATTGGACCTCCTCTTTTCAAACAGAAAAAATAGCCAAGAAAGATTATGAACTTCCCATTTTCTTTTACTTTTGAAAGAGAGTAAAACTGTAACTCAAAAATTCAAACTGTCTTACAAAGGTTGTATCTATAGAATTCGAAACACTTATTAATATTACACGAAGTGAAGCTATGGTTACTGCGATGTGCAAAACTATTAACGAAGTTTTCATTCAGTTTGCACAAGGTCCATGAATAGTACATATACTACACATTAATGAGGCATCTCGGTAGTTTTACAAAGAAACCCTTAAATATCGCAATATTTTTCATTTTACTGGGAAAAGTCTTTATGTAGTCTATAAATAGTAATACCTTTTAATTCTCGATTTGCTGTGTAGATTTCAAACGGTTTGGAACAAATCATGCATATCATCTCATGTTTCTCATTGAAATAGTCGATACAAAATGACTTCAAATATGTTAAAGAGGAAATTTCGCTCATGTATAATGATATGTTTAGACTAATGTGAAATATATTTATTATTGACAAAAGAA